ATCTCATCATTGAGATTCTCTCTTAATTAAACCTGGCATTTACAGGCAGGGAGGGATCACACATTCCAGAGCAAAAGTTATTTGAATAAAGGGTACCCTGCACGAGGTACCTACACAGCTCAGTGCACTTCCATATTCCTAACAGCATTCACAACTGTTTAACCTAGATAGGCCCCATTCAATAGAGCAATGAGACAGCTCTTAAAAATGCCTGGCTACTGGTGCTGTGCAGAGAGTTCTCCAGTAAATAGAAAATGAAGGCTTTTTTTTAACCTCTGGAAATATTACTGGGCAACGGCAAGACAAGGCCATGGCTTACCCATCCAAATTAGAAGTCCAGGGCTAACTGGAAAGAGAAGAGGAAACACGCAGCGTGTGCCAGGATGGCAAAATAAGAAGGAAGAGTCCAAGTTTAAGGGATCTGTCAGTCCCTCGTCACACTGGTAGAGCTGTCAAATGTCAGCTACGGAAAAAAGAAATAAGGGAAAAGAAGAGAGAAATAGCTCCCTCCAGAAAAATTATCTATCCTTTCCATGTATGCTCAGGATAGAGCTTTCTTTCTCCCTAGCAGCTGGCCAAGGCTCGCTTCAACTGCAGTTACCGCCAGCGGATAGCAGGAACTTAAGCTCAGCTCAACAGCCTCAGGGGCCAAACGCTCAACTCTGCTCGCAGCACTGTAAAACAAAATGCCGCAATGGGAAATTCTGCCTCTTCCGAGTCAGTTTTCCAAGCCACAGTGTGAACCAGAGGACACCAGTACAACCGTGCTGCCCGGATGATCACAACCACTTGGAAAGGTTCACCAGCTTGCCAAAACCCCTACATGAACAGACCCAAGCCCCAAACGCTCACTTCTTCATACCCACACCAAACATAAATTCAGCCAGAAAGAGCAAAGTCCAGAAGAAATCAAATACAAGGAGCACTTGAGCATGGCAACAGGTCTTTAAAAAAAAAAGGGGTTGTGGGTTTGGCTTGTGTGGACATAACTCATTTCCTAAGCATATTCTAGCAGGACCACACAGAAAATTAGAGATCATTTCTCCTGGGAGAAGTATATTCCATTTGTGCCAAGGCAGACAAGTACAGTGATGTCTACAAACACTCAAGCTCCTACATGAGAGTAGTTCACTGCAGTATCCCACTTCTGCACCAGGCAAGCTCACTTGACGCTAGGTGGGAAAATTATTCTTGGCTAGTATGCACAAACCATACAAGCCTTAAGCCCTCTTCGAAACACACACAGCTTCTAGGTTTCCCTGTCACCAGAAAAGCCTGCAAACATAAACCAGTGCGGTCACACCCAAGGCTGCAGATAGCACTGCCGCCACTAACACTTTTGCCAAGGTCCGGCTCTCTCGCCCCTAACCAGTGTTTTGCCCACACCAGCAAAACTGGCAATCCCCACCAGCACCACCACCGCCAGACTGCTTTTGGTAAAAGGAAAAGCACAAAGCAGTGTTTAGTGCTGCAGTTACCTGAAGGAAAACTGGGGACAACGGCACACTAGTTGCCCTGCAAAGAAGTTAGCAACAGCCAGCCGTGGATCTTGATGGGGAAGCAGGGCATCCTATGAGTTTGGAAGCCAGGCCATCAATTTATTAAAACAAAAAAGATCAACGAGAAAACAACATGTGCAGGAAGGGTCACCCCAATATTTCTCTACCAACAGCAGCTCAGGACTGAGCTGCATCAGATCTTAGGAAAATACTCCCAAGAGCTCGGTGACGAAACCTCGCTAACACAACTTCTGCCCGCAGCTGGTTTGCACGAGGGTTTCCAGACTGTCACATTCAGGGAGAACTTCGGTACGCTGCTCAAGTTTAAAGTTTTACAGATTTTAAACCAAGAAACAAATGATTAACCTATTTTTTCCTGGCATATTTAATTCTACGAGGAGAGGTAAAGATATCTAGACAGGGCACACAACCAAATCCTGCAGCCGTTGCACAACATCACAGGCAATCCCTTCCCCATTATTTCACACAGTGATGAACGGTACAAAAAGCACAAACTGCAGCTGTCACAACTCAAATCGAGACGAATTGCTAAGATCTCTACGCACATCAGATTTCGGACGTGAAGACCTGCATTCATCCACAGAAAAACAGCGAACTGTAATACCTATAATGCGGGGAAAAGCGAGCATGGAAAACGGGCTCTGTAAATCACTCGCCCGCACTCCCGCTCCAGGGCTCTTTCTGTGTCCCCGCCCTGTTTTGCCTTGCATGCTGCTTATAGGTTTTCTACTTCAAAATTCCTTGCATGCATACAAGCAACATATTCATGTACAGTTTAATGCAGAAATTCCCTAAAATTTGGGAAAATGTTCTTGTATGTCTTTCAGGGAGCCAAAACACTTGTTTGGGAGCGGGAAAGAACAATTTGCATTCAAAGAACTGGCTGCCAGACTGAGTTTTAAAACTGATTTTGTCATTTTTCTAAGTCATTCCTCGTAAAACTACTTCTCTTGCTCTTCTTACTCATAGACGGGTTTTTATCTAAAATGCTGAAGAAAGGAATCCACACCAACTAGAACTGGTACCCAAGCTACAAATCAAAATATATTAAAAAAAAAAAATCAGCCAAAAAAGCTTGAAGTTGTACCATAATTCAAAACCAACACATCTTTATTCCTCATATGCTGATGTAGAAACATCAGACAGCTATAGGAACCAGTAAGTTGGGGGAAAAAATAAAAATATAAAAAACGCAACCTCTCCTGTGCACTATTACTACCACATATGCTTCTTACCATTCACAAATCAAATGTGTGATAAGAATATCCTAAATCCTGTAAATATACATTTATGTATGTAAATGTACAATGGTTTAAACACCAGATGTGAGTGGTCAAACAAATTTATCACATTTTAACTAAATTTATCACATTTTAAACTAAAACAGGGTAGGTTTAAACTGGATCTAAGGAAGAAATCCTTTACTGTGAAAGTGATGAAACCCTGGCATGGGTTGCCCAGAGAGGTGGTGGAGGCCCCATCCCTGGAAACGTTCAAGGCCAGGTTGGATGGGGCTCTGAGCAATCTGATCTGGTTAAAGGTGTCCCTGCTCCCTGCAGGGGGATCGGACTGGGTGACCTGTAGGGATCCTTTCCAACCCAAAGCATTCTGTGATCCTATGATCTTCAAAGTGATGTAACACATCCTACCATTTTATGTTAGTACACTTCACGGAAGTTACTATTTTATCCCTGCTTTGCTGATGGAGAACTAGACACAAATGATCTCCAGCCACCTATGACTGTTTATATAGGATGCCGAGCACCAGGACCACAAAAATTGATTTTACAGCTGAAGAATAAAATACTTTTTTAAAAAATAAAAATGAAAAATGAATAACAGTGTTACCAACTGAATGTACAAAAAGACCATGAAAATCATACCACCGCAGGATAACCAGCACCCTGTGAAGCAGGAGAGCTTCCAAAGGAAGCTATCAAGCTAGAATAGTATTTAAACAGTTGACAAAACATAATATTGAACTTAGAAAGCTGCAAAAGACTTTAAAAACCTACTTGTTGTACAAATTATGACAGGAGTTTAACGCTGAAGCACATGCAAGAGAGCAAACATTGTGTGAAAGGTCTCTGTCGCTGGTGACAGGTTGTCTTTGGGCATCCGTCAGGTTGCTTAACAATTTACACAAGATGTTAAGCAACTGTAAATGTGATCCTCTTGACTTACTATCCAAAGTGTTTCCTAAGGGTGTGTTATACTATTAGTATTTCAGTTTATCACAGCCAAGCTGTAAGGCCTGGGCTGTCTAGGCAAGGATGCTGTAGCATGGGAGAAGTTGAAACTTGAGCAGCCCTTCCAGCTCCATATATCATAACTATGTACCTATTCAATAAAAAATGAGCGAAATTCTTATGGGCAGCAGGATAAAATTTCAGTGAAATATTACACACCAAGAGTAAAGCTTCAGAAAATGCATTCTCGTGAGGTTCAGGCATTTACGTACAAAAAGGATGCAGTTCTCAAACCTAGTTCTACCTTACTATCTTGCCCCCAACAACAGTTGCACAATTGTAAAGCAGCTGAAGACGTCTGCGAGGATGAGACTGAGCTCACATAAAACAGACCTCAAAGACTAAAATCTACAGTCTACAAAACACAAAAACTCATCCATGAAATGGATGCTGCCTTCCACGAGGCCCTCACATAGGTGCATACCACCCCAATAAAAAATTCAAGCTACTTACTCTAATAGAAATAAGAGATACCTCACTTGTCTGAGGGGCTCTAATTCCATTGCAAGGGATATGATGATAATACTCCATGAGAAAAACCAGCAGACATCGCTCATGCTGTGCCTTCAACCCAAGAACTGAAGACTTGCATTACAGCATTACCTTAATCTTCAGCACTAGCTGAGCCCTAAACCACAGGAAGATGAAGGATGTATCAGGGAGGCATCACTCCATGATTCTCTACCTCCTTCATGTGGAGGTACCGCAACACCAGGGTACTGCAGACAGCAGCTGAAGCAAGTCCTGGGCCACATCCCAGCTCCAAAAAGCCATCTAAGAGAGTTCTTATGCCAAAGCCAATATCCATCAAGAAGAGACTGCAGTCAGTACCTTGGGGGAGACACATCGACGGCCTGACCCAGCACAAAAATTTTGTGCCTTCCAAGCCTTCCTCTTTTTAATTTACAATACCACTAGCTGCTACCAGTGAGTCTGAATATACGAACGAGAGCATAAAACATTTTTGTTGCAACAAATGAGTGTGGAAGACTTAAAAATTCTGTGATTGTGAAAATTCAGTTTCTTAAAAAACAAAAAATATTCTCCTCTCATAAAATGTATTGTAACTATGGAAAAAGTTAACCCTAATATAATACCTTTAGAAGTGGCCAACTTTCCAAGAGCTTGTCATCTAAGGGAAAATTCTCTCAGGTCCTTTCAATTCTGTCAAGAAAACAGGAAGCAAATTTCAGTAAGCCATTTTGATAGAGTAAAATAGAGATAAAGATCTCTATTAAACTTGGCAACAAAGAGAGAGCCCACAAAATATCAGCCCGAGCAGCCACTTGCCACCCATCTATCACTGCACTGCTCACTGGAAAATGGCCCATTGTCCACCGTTGACCCAGTATGTAGGAGCACATAGGCAGCATGCGGGAAGCCAACAAGAAAGCACTGATGATACCCATTACCTCGTTTAGAAAATTAAAAACATAAACAAGAGAAAGGGGCAATTAAGACCCCAAATGTTGAGGACTACTGACAAGTTACTTGACAAAATGACAAAACCTTTAAGGATTAGGAAGAGAAAGCTGTTTCAGCAGTGTAGGAAACACGATCGTTCTGGTTAATCAGTGTGATGTGGAACATCTACTTTCAATCTTGACCAAGATCCTTAAACAAAGAGATTTCTCCAGTTCAGATGCAGTTTTAAATTTTGAAAGTTGGCATCTCACTCCGGCCTGCAGGCTTTGGAAGGGCCAAGTGAAGTACAACCACCACTGGTCACTTAGCCAAGTAAGACCTGGTAGAAAAGTAATGCCAAAGACTAACTTCCAAAGATCTTCAATACCTGGGCAAGGAGGATCCCCAACAGGTCATGCTTGAAATGTTACAGGATAAAAAGCCAGTGCCAACCATGCGTCTGACAAGGAATGGAAAAAAAATCTTTTCAGTCCTGTTAGTGTTGATGCAAATTTTGTTTTGCCGGAGTTACAAAATCATCGCTACCATGAATTAAACCAAATTAAAAAATCATTTCATCGTGGTATTTTCACTTATCCTTCCTTCTTTTAGTTTATTGTCCGGCCCTTCTTCTTAATTATTTTTTTTAAGACACTAAACTTAATTATGTTAGATGCTCCAAGCTCTAGTAATATTGCTGTTGATGTGCTAGAGTACAGGTTTACCAGGTGTCTTAACTTCTTCCACGAGTAATACTCAATCCAGTTTTACCAATCGTGAGTACGTTTGCTTGTGCTGCAAAGAGACTGTAAGACCTTGCAGAGTACACAGAACAAGCCAAGGAGAATGAGAATTGTGCCTCTCAGAAGTTAAATATTTTACAATGGAATAATTACTAATAAATAAGAAAATAAAAGACATCACAACCACTAAAACACACAGCCCTGCTTGTGAAGAAAGCATCCAAACCAGCTGTACTGAACTATTCTGAATTTTTATTTTCCATTTCCAACGGCTACCTGGAAAAATAACCTGTATCCGAAAATCTCAACACTGATCCCTTCTAAAAAAAAAAAAAAAAAACCAAACCAGAAACCAAACCAGTACTACACCACATATATAAAATACTTGCAAATAGGTCTAGAAAGACTGGATAGAAAAAGCAGCATTCACAGAAGTCATGAGTCACCAGCACTGCCGACACATACTTTGGTTACTGCAGAACAGTCCTCATCCCACCGCTCTGCCGTACACTTTGCAACACGCCAGAAACAAAAATCAGGAGGAGGTACTTGCATGGATTTCCTGACTGCGGTAGTCAAGGCCCCTCTTTACCACAAAGCATGACTTCGTGAGCTTGGACGTTAGTATCAAAGACCCTCAGCATGTCAGATTAAAATTAACTGTTCTTGTTGCTAAATAGCTTTGAAAATCCTGGATTTCACTTGCACCCTGGAGTGGAAAAAGCAAGGAGACAAGCAGAAAAGATTTTACTATTTCACACTTGGTAATAACATCCCAACTCTGAAAATCAAATCTTTCACATCATTCATTTTTGTAATAGTGACAGCTAGCATTTCACACACTGGAAAAAAAAAAAGGCCTCTTTCAAAGTAATTAATTATTTAACGACACTAGAAGCCTATCTTCTATGCCACAGAAAATGTTGCTAGTATTTTGTGACGATCTCTACAAATAAACACCCATCTGTGCATTTGGCGTTTGACCTGAAGTAACATCCCCAAAAGCTCAGAAACACACCTGGAAAAGGCAGAAAGAGCAGAAAGCCAGACACATGGCTCTCCCGCTATTATAAACCAGGCCATTAGCATCACATCCCTCAGCAAAATTCCCACGCCAAGTTTAACAACAGTGATTCCTATTTAGTTCCCTGACGCTTATCACAGAATCTCAGAATCCCAGAATGGCAGGGGGTGGAAGGGACCTCCGGAGCCCAACGCCCCGGCTCAAGCAGGCTCACCCAGAGCAGGGTGCACAGGACATCGTCCAGGCAGGGGTTGGGTATCTCCAGAGAAGGAGACTCCACAGCCCCCCTGGGCAGCCTCTGCCAGGGCTCGGTCACCCTTACATTAAAGTTCTTCCTCACGTTCAACTGGAACCTCTTCTGCTTCAGTTTGTGCCCATTGCCCCTTGTCCTGGCACTGGGCACCACTGAGAAGAGTCTGGCTCCATCCTCGTGACACCCACTCTTCAGATACTTGTACGTGTTGATGAGATCCCCTCTCAGCCTTCTCTTCTCCAGGCTAAACAAGCCCAGCTCCCCCAACCTTTCCTCGTAGGGGAGATGCTTCAGTCCCGCCATCATCTTTGTAGACCTCCTCTGGACTCTCTCCAGTAGCTCCTCACCCTTCTTGAACCATGAAGCCCAGAACTGGATGCAGTACTTGGACACAGTACTGGCCACAGATCATGGCACACTCGAGGATGCCACAGCACTAGCTCGTCAGAGCGGGTAGGAACAGCTCTTTTGGGGCCAGGGGAGAGCAAGACCCTCTCCTTTCCCCTCCAGCCCAAAGAGCTGTTTCTCATACTTATCTAGGTGTAAAAATCAAGCAGCACCCTTACAGTCTTGTATTTCTGGTCTAAGTTAGTCGCAGCAGGTGAACTTAATGTCCTGGTAAAAACCTCAAGCACTCAGCTTGGTTAACACTAGTATAAAACATGAAGTATGTCATGAACTGCTGTCAAGCTGTTGGCCCAAAGCAAGCAAACACAGTGACAGCCACCCGAGATCACGTAGGCAATCAGTCAGGTTCAGAGTAAACTCAACTAAGATCCAAATGTTTTGAAGCTGCCCGAGCTAACCACTCTGCGTTCTGTATTCCCAAACTACGCGAGCTGCAAAGCTAAAATCACGTCTTTTTACGCCACCGAGTAGCCACTATCGAACTGGGAAGCATCTCTCTGCACACTCACAGCACACCAACACAGTGGTGGGAAAACTGCCTTCACATGCGCATTTAGAGCAACTTTTCTGTGTGAATTGGCCAAAAAAAGCTTACGGATAGGTAGCGGAGACTCCGTACAGATGCCTGCTCTCAGCCTTCAGCCCTTTCCCCTCCAGCACCCTCAGGGAGTATTTGCTGCTGGCATTTTAGGCAGCCTCCGGGCTGTCGGACTGATGTGACCTGCCCGTAGCAGGAGAGGGAGATCCTTTCCGTGACCTCCTAAATTCCAAAGAGGCCCTTTTCAGCAGCACCTGGAATTGGGCCAGAAATTATTTCTCCTCAATTCTGATCTCCTGAATCCTGGCAAAAGGTTAAAACTGTTTAATTCCTTGTCCTATGAATTCCTGATTGGTCAAACAGTTCGAAACAGAAGTTCACAGATTCTTTACGTTTTTTCTCCTTTTAGCTTTTAAGTAATGTTTTAGAATTTCAAAAGCTGCTCACTTTAAAACATTAACAAAACTTACTAAACAATTTTTTTTTTCACACCCTGAAGCAGATTACACTTCAGCTTGAGTGTTCTTTCCATTCAGCCCCTTCCAACGAGCTAGATCCACAAGAAACTGCCTCGCCAGCTTCTGTCTGACCTCCGGATAAGTGAAGCCCGAAGACCCCTCTAAAAGAGGGTGGCCTTTTGCAGTAGACAGGCTCAGGGGAAAGATATTTTCATTTTCATTCCTCTACGTTCTCACTTGATTGGAGACCTTTTCAAGAGGAAAGGGCCTTAACATTCAAAGATGATTTTAAAAAGCATCTTCCAGAAACAGCCTTTTCTCTCTCTTGTCCAAGAGATGCCTCTGTTAGTTAAAGCAGTTCTAGAACAATTGTAAATGAAGAATAAATACAATTTAGAGCAGAAAGCATGACATTTGTTCCCAAAGCAAGGCCCACGTTATCAAACAAAATTCTAATTTCACTCGTTAAAGCAGCTATGGGAAAGTCTACGTATGCTGACAGCCACACACCCCTGTGGGTACACGCGGAGTCAAGCATCCAGCACCTAAACAGGAAGCAGAAAACTTCAGAAAACAAAAGTAGAAGTTGAGCTGGAAAGGCTTTGTAGTGTATTTCCATCCCGCAGTACACCTGCCAGCTGCCCTCATTCTGGTTCACATTATGGTAAATCCCTTTCTTAACACGGTACGCCACTTTTAAACCGTGCTTGCCGTTGCCCTAGCACATTGGGTTCCTTCCTATGGCTGCTTTTCTTTGAAATGAAAGTACAGAATTAGAAAGAATTAAACCCATCTTATGAAAATAACTCCTTTAAAGATAGAAAACAATTTCTTCGAGAATGGGCGAAGAGAACAGCCCTGACCAGATTCAGATATAGTACGGTTGTTGGCAACAGGTAACCACACATCTTCCAGGACAACATCCAGTATTTCAGCAGCAAACTGTTGAAGCACACAACTTTGGGCAAACCCATCCTTGCCAGAGCTACACCAACACCAGTGCTGGGCTTAGCTCTTTTGGGAAACAACAACCTGACCTAGCTGTTATACAGAGCCCCCAATACTTCCTAGGAGTCTTTAAAATACTGTATTTCCCTAGTAAGGCACGTTCATTAAAACAGTTCTAAGCACCAGTAGGTCATTAGCGGCTGAAGCGAAGATTTTTAAAAGCATTTGGAAATTTATAAGCAAAGGTTAGATACATCAGTTTGAGAATTTCAAAATCCACTCGTCTTGCCTGATGAAAAAAGGAAGCCTCACCAATTTCTGAAGCATTTAAATACACCGTGACCTCAGCCTTTTGACAGCAGAAGGAATTCCTTCTGTGAGTTCACAGACAGGGTGTCTGATCACCCAAAATTTATCTAAACAGCAAAACCAAAACTCCAGTTGCTTTTAAGGCATGTTCCTAACGTTTACATCTCTACCTGCCTGCCAGGTGAGACATCTTCAAAGCCTGACTAATGCCCGTTCCCAGCTGGGAAAACAGAAAGAACGATCGAGTTAAAAAACTGGCAAGTCACATACAGAACTGGGCCCAAACCCAGTGTTTCCAGCTCTCTGTGACAGACACCGTCCACTACATCAGTCAAAATACAAGCACTAAAGCATATGTTTTCCAATGAAAGCAAGGCACGACTTTATGTGAAATCACGCTCCAAAATCTCAAAGGCCTTGAGTGGTGAAGTAAGGCTTGAATACGAAGGGTGAGCTCAATCTACACCTCGCAGCCCAGGCCCCAGGTAGGTAGGTCCCTGGGAGATCTCGCATTCTTACCCAAAAACATCCCCTACCTCTTACCACCTGCAGTTAAACCCAAATAAGAGCTTTCGGAAAATCTTACAAGATAGCAACTTCAAGACACCCTAATTCCAAACAGCAAAGCACAATAAGAATCCTTAGGCCTTCAGGGAACGCTGTAGTGTTTTCCTTGGCTAAAACATATTAGCCACATCATCCCGCCTTCCAAACCAGTGCCTTGCCCACGGGTTTCTTGCTCTTTCACACCAGATGAGTACCCTGGACTCCTATTCCCCACCTACGGGCTACCGTCCCCTGGCACGAGCACAGCTGCCCTCGCACCACATCAAAGTCCAGAGCTTCCCCTCTTGCTGGCACACGCTCGGGCATCCCTTGCCCTATGGCCTCGCTCTGCCCCAAGGCTGGAGAAAATGCTGATTTTTGCCTAACGGAAAGTCCTGCAAACCCTGAAAGCTCACAGGAGATGCAGTCTCCTACATGGTGCTCCCCCAGTCAAACTGACCTTGCCGAGAGGCAAAATGAATACAGGACCGGCTGAGCGCTGCATTAGGAGGCCTGTATCGTTTCTGAGAGTCAACCTGGGAGCTCAGCCCAGCACCCAAGCGCTTGGAGCGATATGTTATCTTTAGCAGCCCTGCATGTCACAGGGCAAGCGGTCACCTCAGCATTTGCAAGGTTAAACTCAACCGACAAGGCCCGTTCAGTTACTGTTACTACCACAGCAGGTAGAGAAACCTCTCTAAGGCAACGTTGTGCAATTACAAAGCACTCTCAAAGTTTTGGGCCAGGTAGTCACACGTGATTTAGATTTAGGAAGGAGGTGCCTCCTCACAAAAGGAAAAATCGAGCTTGCTGCAGCCTTCCTGAATCTCTCTCCTGGCCCAAGAGAGTGCCCCTGCTTTGACGAGAGCAGAGCAGAACTGATCACAGCAACTACATTTCTAGAAAAAGAAGGGAAAGCTCCACAACCGCCTTCTTTTGGCAACTCGGCTGCCTTTTCCCAACTGCCAGCAGAACTACAATTCATTAGGATGCACACTAATACATGGTGCCTGGCTGCTGAAGACCTCTCCTTCCCCTTGCTCTTCCTACCGCCATGCCTCCGCTACCTTCTCCTCTGGGAAGCTTGGCTGACACAGCTCACTTTAAAAGCTTTCTGCCCGCATCCCTGTTTCCAACCACAGGACTCGCATCTCTGCTGGTGTTATCACTGGGCCCGGCTATCTAGAACAGCCTCTCTGTAACTAGGGGTTGTTTTCAGAACAAATAGCTTTTTCTTTGTTGTGGCTGCCGCACAGACACGTCAATAAATGTGCGTGTTGTAAGAACCAAGAATATACTGGCACAAAACTCGCAGGGAAGCTCTTGGTGCCTCAGAGGCCTCCTAATGCAGAAGACAGATAAAAGGAAAAAGAAAAAAAAACAAACCCAAGAGTGATGAAAGAACTCCAAAGCAGAAGTATCTCTTATTAATAAAGCACATAGACCTAGATTCGGATCCCTACGGCTTCTCATACCGTCACAAGAACAAAATCTGCAGCATCAATGCCCTTCACACATAGTCTAAAGTTATACAGAAACCAAAGGTGCCTGAAGAGTTTACTCTGTTAAACACACCCGAAAGGCCGACTTAAACAATGCCAGCGCGCACAAGTTTTTCAAAGGATACACTGTAAAATAAGCACAAGATGAGACCTGCCATACATGGGCAAAGCATTCGCCCATCCGCTCCAGCGTCCACCCCAGAGAGGGAACGCGAGCAGGTACCTCCGGAAGGAAACTCCCCCCGGCTGGCCAAACATCCAAGCTGTAACTCGGTACAACTTCCACCCCGGTAAATCAGCCTCCGGCAAGCTGCCGCGCAGCGGCTCAGAGAGCACACGCCTTGGATGCACCGAAACACGTCACACCATGTTAAAAAGTGCAAGGTACAGGGGTGTTATTCCCCATCTAAGTAACCCAACATTGTCGTTTTAACAACTACACCTGCACAAAGACAAGTCAAATTCCACACACACCTTAGAGTAACTCAGACCTTCTGTGTTGTCTTTCTCAAGCATTTTTGTTCTGGCCTCAAGAACTGAAACATCCAACCACTGAACTTTAGAGTAAGGCTTTTCCTTCCCCTAAAATGTTACTCAGTAAATTATCTAAGTGCTCCTATTATCTTGAAGATTCTACTCAAAAAGTCATAAACACAAAGGCTTGGCATTTTTACTGTTCTATGTTGCTTCTATTTCAGTCCATTAGTCTGCAAAAATGAAATGACTAATTCATCAGTCCTCTGGTAACCTAAAACTGGAACAGCTCATTTGGTTACACAGGCGTATTTCTTAAGCTGCCTCCACAATATCTCTGCGAGTGAAATTATCTCAGTCTCCTAAACGAAGAAACTGAATCACAAAGTAGCTAGTCCCTGGGTTTTTAGGGAGGTACCACTCCAGGGCGCACTCTGAGGACACTCTGTACTGTAAAGTAGATCCTAGACCTTCCCAAGAGCAGGCCCACTTTTTCACATATAAAAAACACACACCAAAAAAAAAAAACCAAGAGAGAAAGACAGAAATAAAAATATAAACCCCTCCACCATACGCCTTGTTTGAACTGCACCTAACATTGCTGTTATTGCGAGACCTCCAAAGTAATGTTTATTGGAACGCTGCAATACCTGGGCTCTCTCCACTCACCGTAAGGCAGCACGTGAACCGGTTTATCTGGGCCACAGGCAAAGTGCAACGTTGCTCCTGGAAAGCCAGCTGATGAACTCTCCACTCCCAAACCAACCTTTGGGCAGTTGCTTGCACGTACCAGGCTAAACCCAACTTTATTCTCCCTGCTCCCCGAACAGCTTGCCATTAAACAGCTAAACCATCCTGCTGGGCTTTGACAGAATAAAGATGAAAGGCGGCAAGAAAAATAAAGCAGAGAAGGCAGGGAGGAGAAAAAAACAAGCAGGTGAGGTGCACAACGAGCAACGGGTGTTAACCAGCGCAGAAAGATGCGGGCTGATGGCCAGGCAGGGAGCGCGGGGGCTGCAAAGGGAAGCGGTGGGTGCTGGGAGCAACCTGCCGCTGCCCCTGGCGGGCAGGGCTCCACGCTCCGCTTCTGTATTTAAAGATATTTTTTCCATAAGGAGTTAGAACAGCAATACCCACAGCGATGTTCACGCACACACACGCCAGATTAATGAGGTTTTAACTAATTTTCCAAGATTAAGAGATTCCTTCCCCCCCCACCC